GGGTTTCTGGCGAACGGCTTCCGTCAGCTGGCCGCCCTCGTCGTTGCCCATGTACCCAGGAGGAGGGCCGATGAGGCGAGAAATGCTGTGCGCCTCTTGGTACTCCACCATGTCCAGCCTAATCAAATTCTTTTCCGAGTGAAATACCTCCTCTGCTAGTGCCTTCGCCAGCTCTGTCTTACCCACACCTGGAAAAGTAATGTCACGCATAATAATAACAGCGCAACAATACAAATACGTACATATATATATATATATACACGTCTATATACCTGTGTATATTATATGTGTATGCGTGAGCATGTGTAGATGTGTCCATATGCATATGCTTATGTAAATATATTGAAGCACAATTACACGCCCAAACACACACAAATTAAGCAAAAGGCATCGTCGACTGTGGACGTAGATGGTCACTACCAACGCGCTATGTTGTGCTCAACGGCCTTTGCTTATTTAAATATAAGCTTGGCAATGCGCATCTGCACTAATCAAACCCATCATCGTCTCTAAAGCGTCGTCTCTCATTTTTCCTTTTTCTCTTTCGTTCTTTTCATGTCTCTGTCCTTCCCTGTCTCTGCATATTTGCTCGTATTTCTTCGTTCGCCTTAAATTATGAGCATCTAATGATCTATCGCTGCGCTTTCGTTCGTTTCTCCATATTTATAATTAACCAATGCGCACCAGAAGACCCTAAAAACAAGAAGGCCCCTATCGGCTTCTTCTCTTCGGTGAGACCGGCCCGGTGGTTTCGTATGGCGTTGGCCACCGACTGCACAGCTTCATCTTGCCCAATCACGCGCTGCAAATCAAACAAACGCACGAAAAAAATACGCAAACTAAAGCGTAAACTAAGATTCACCAATAAACACCAATAAGTCGCCGTCTATGAGATCACATTAAAGAAAACACCGGCAGCCGCTACTCACACAAACGGCCCACGCACGCGACAGCTGAACGCTCCCAGTGACCCCAAATGAACAAATGCATATTATACACTATATACGCCTTGCTATTCTCGCCACTGTGTGTAATACGCATTTGTACATAAACTAGATGAAATAAAATGCAGTTCCAATCAAAAAGCTTCTAGTTTAGGGACTCTGGTTATTTCGTCTTGAGTCACTACATATGTATAAATATATAAATAAATAAATATGCATACGTATACACTATATAAAGCTACACAGATACATACAGATATATAGATAGATATACACACTGAATAAATTACACAAATTAAATAAAACAAAATGAAATACCTTTCCAAGTACATCTGCTAGCTTTAGAATTCTGCTCATTTCGTCTTCCGTCATCTTGCCCATTGGTATTCCGGTCCACACACTCAAAACGCGGGCGACGTCATCCACCTTCAATTCAATTCTATCAGGATCAGGCCGCTAGGAAGAGCAGAAATAACGCAATAATTCATAAATAATGTAACACGTATTTAAATATTTGTTTCTTTATTCACTTTTGTATCTTTTTACGTACGTACGCTCGTTCGCCTCCTCGTTCGTTCAGAAATAATTGCAGATCGCGGTAGGAACGCCAGGCACAGGGAGAGAATGAACAACAAAGGAAAGCCGAAGCAACAAAGTAAAAAGGAGATAAAACCAAAGGAAAATAAAAAGAAAATGGAAGCAAATAACAAGAACAGGAACAAACAACTGCAAGAAGAAACAACCACAAGAAGAACAAGCAAATACATGAACAAGCACCAATAAACAACAAACGAAGAATATGAGATGAAGAGGCTTAGAGAGATGGAAGAACACTAGGCAGACAAAGACAAGCAACAAAACAATACAAACAAGGAAACAAGCGAAACAAACAAACAAGGACGAACGACAAAACAAATAAAGAGTGAGACGGACAAACGAGTAAGACGAGCAAGCAAAAAACGCCAAGCAGACGACGAACAGTCCAAGTAGACACAAGCACACAAAACACCAGAAAGAACAAATGGAGCACGAAACAAACAAATAGAACAACGAGAAAATGAACACGTAGAGAATACATCCGGCTGCTTACATCATCGGTGGGCTCAGTGAGGGTTCTATACTCCTCCTCTAGCTCCTTCAGCTCTTCTTCGGACTGTACAAGCAAAACCAAATCGATAAAATAGTCATGAACGGAGAGAAAAAGAAAATAAATAGGACAATAATAAACAGACGGATATAAAGCAATGCGGAAACACACGAAGTAACCAGAAACAGACAGAAAGCAAAAACCTAGTATCATAAGACCGGATAAACAGCAACAAACAACAAACAAACAGCAAGACAACGAAGAAGGAGGATAGACGACCCTCTCTCTTCTTCCCCCTAGAACTCAAAGAAAGCCCATATGCAAACTAATAAAGACACATATCTATATTCATGACTGCGTTATCCATATTATATATTATACTATTAAATATATTTATAAATGCACATGCATCTATACATACAGATATCTATGCATATGCATGTATATCTACATATACATGCACATATACAGGTATGCATATATATGCATATCCATACTACTATATACGGCTATAAATACGCACATATACATGTATGTATGTCTGTTAGCATATATCAATACATATATATATATATACACTGCATTACAGACCGTGTACACACTGCCCAATGCGACAAGGAGAGAAAAGCGGAAGACTAAGGATAGACCGAAGAAACGGAGAACGAAGAAGGCATTCGAGTGCATTGCATGAACAATGCTTACAAGAGTAACTCTATGTGCGCGATGATCTTCTAGTTGTTTGCCGACCTCCGCCACTCTATTGTTAAACCTAACTCTACGCATGGCGCAAGATTCATCTAGTAAATCTAGCGCCTTATCTGGAAAGGATCTTCTTTTTATATATTGATCAGACAAACCAACAACTGCAGCCAGCACTTCATCTGGGATATCCATGTTGTGGTGATCCTCGTACTTCGTCCTCACTTTTTGTAAAATGCCTGCATGCAGCAACTCCAATGGTGAACAAGGTAATAAATTAATCAATATTATATATATATATAAATCCATGCAGCAGGTAAACAAATACACAATTAAACAAACGCACATACATAAATAAACGTTAAGACAAACAAAAAAGCAAACAAACGAAACAAACAAACGAACAACAAACACAAAACAAACGAACAAACAAACAAAACAAAACAAAACAAACAAAGCAAAACAGACAAACAAACGAAACAAAACAAACAGACGCACAATAAAACGTACAAAACAAATAAACAAGACATATAAACAAATAAACAAAGAAAAAAGACTCACCTAGAGTTCTTTCTTTTGATGGCGCCTCAACGACAATTTTCTGAAAGCGACGGCAAAACGCTGCATCTTTTTCAATGTAGAGTTTGTACTCGCTTAGAGTTGTCGCCCCCACCAATCTAAAACAAACAAGCAGAGAAATAAACAAATAAACAAGTACACAAACAAGTGAGAGGAGAAAAAAAGAAATATACAAATCAATACCGAATTTATTTGTTTCATCGAAGAAATAAGCAATTAATTAAAAAAGAAACAATTATTAAGGGCAAGACTAACAAACAAACGAACAGTTAATAAAAATATGAAAATAAACGAATAATTAATCGAGAGAAAAATCCAACAACAAAATCGCACACAAGAAACACCCCTGGAGCAGAGGAGGCACAAGGGCAGCGCCCGCATTGAGCCAAACGTCCCGAAACCCTCAGCTAGCTACGGAGCTAGCTATTTGAGCTAGCTAGCTGCTTGATCGGGGATCCTTTCACTTGCAGCGTGACTGGAAGCCACAGCACCAAGCTAGCTACCCAGCCAGCTAGCTATCTATACAGCTCGTTATGCGGCTAGCAAGATAGCTAGGCAGCTAGCCAGGCAGCTGGGTAGCTACTTAGCTAGCTAGCTTAGCTAGCTAGCTATCCAGATTGACGGGGTTTTATGGATTGGCCGGTGCCTTCCTGTCTGTGCAGATGAGCACTTGATGATGCGTTTAATTTGCAAGCAGCGACTGGACAGCGTGTTAATATTTCATTATAC